AGGAAGGTCAAATTGGCTTGATGGTTTGGGGAGAGAGGAATACCAAGAGGGGTGTAGGGGGAAATTGGCTTCTCTGCTCAGCTGGTAGAGCTTGGAGCCCTTGGGGATGAGGCTGAGGGTCCTGCCCAGCAGTGCACTGTTCTGCCAGAACCACTGGAGGGGCTCTTGAATGTCTGGCTTCATGGATGGTCTTTATGAAGCACCCAAATAGAGCACTTCTACTAAGTTATAAAAGTAGAGTCCTTGTTGCTCCAAGTAAGCTTTTTTACCTGGATGTGGCATTTTCCATTTTTAGTGATGAAATGTGACCCAGTAAAAACATATTATCCTTTTCCCCAAAAAAAGGAGGATCATTAGCCCCAAAGGCCTGGATAGCACTTAATCTTTCATCAACCAATTCTTTAGCCAAACTTCAGTCTCTAACCCTAGAACACTTGACTGTTTGGCATAAAATAGGATGATTAGTGACATTTCCCTCTCTTTCCCACTGATGCTCTAGGGTTGGCACCGCACACAACAGCTCTGCCCAAGTCTTCCAAACTTTTTGTGTCTTTGCTTGGAAAAATGAAGGATAAATTAATGGACCATGTATTCTGTGCATCTTCTCATGACCAAAATTTGAAATAAAAGACAAATCTGTAAGGGTATAATGAAACCAACACCCTCATTCAATGCCAATGATACTGACTTTAGAAATAATTTGGCAATATATATCAAATGCTATTAAAAGTTCTTTCATTTTTAATCCCAATTCTTGGTAAGTATCCTGAGGAAGTTACTTAAAATATAGGAAAAAGTTACAAGTGCTAAGATATCCTCTGAAATGTCATTTGTTTTAGTAAAAAAAATGGATATAACCTACATATTTAATTAGGGAAGTGGTTAAATAAATGCCTATTTGATGTAATATTGTGCAGCCACTGATCAAATACATATACCATGTAACTAAGAGAACAAAGCCATAAATATAAGTGAAAAAGGAAAGATATAATATTCAGTATACAGTATACATAGAACTATTTTCAAAAAGTTTTATAGAAAAATATCCTGGATTGTGGGTGATTTTTTAATATATTTTAATCATTTTGTGTAATGTCATATAGAATATATGATAATGAAAGTGAAAAAAAAAAAAAGAAACGGCCCTTGTGGAGCAGGCAGAAAAATGTCAAACCCAAAGCCTTTAGGTTATTCTGGTGCCTGGGAAGATTCTGTGTAAGGCTCCTTTCAAGTCTGTGGATGAGCCAGGAAGGCTACCGGTACTGAAGGTCATCTTGGAAAAGGCACCATCGGTACAGAAAAACAGAGAACCATCCTGCATTCCAGCAAGGATTTGAGAAAGAACCAAGTCTCATATTATAAGTACTGCTCACACCTTTCTGCTCCAAGATTCCCTAATTCTCTGTCATCTATGCATTGATCCAACTTATACTTTCATTATTCATTTAGTTTCACTGCTTAAATTCATAGCAAACTATAACAAATTACAGAAACTACTTTTTTATACTAGAAGTTCATTTCATAGATGATTAATATGGAACAAACTTGGAATGCATTATTTACAGAGCATACCACAATACCGCAGTAATACCAGACCCAATATAGTGCAACTTTACAAAATGTATTTAGCTTGCTGTCTAAAAGTATGGGCTATTTGAACTTTTCACACAAGGGCTTTTATCTATCCTTTGCTTACTTTACATTGAGAAAATCCAAGTGGATATGCCTCGTTTTTAACTCAATCTTTCCTGTACCTGTTTCTTTGTAGAGGAAGGGTCTTATGACAACTGTGTCAATTGGCAAATATACAACTCATGGTTGTTTCCAATCAATTGTGGTATTTTTGCAGTGTTATGAAATAGTTCCCTATGGTACACATCCATATCGGTAAAAGCAAAACCAGAGGTTTAACTTAATTACAGAATCACCATGGCAATATTTATGGTCACCTGCACATCCAAAAAACAAACAAAAAAATCTTATTCCTGTTACTTCCTTCATTTGTCCTCTTCTTCACACTTGCCTGATGAAGTTGGTATCAGTGGCCACCATCTTACTGTTTTCTCTTTCACTCCACAAGGAAGTTGCATATGCTTCCGCTAGGTTTTGCAAGACATTAGGTCATGCATGTTGCCTACAACAAAGAAGCTTCTTAGCGTGTGAAAGCACAAAGCTAATCATGACCTCAGCCCTGCTGCCTCCGGGAAACAGAGAGGCAGGGACCAGCACTGATTCGTTACAGGATAAAATGGTGTCCATTTCTCAAAGTCAGGCATGAATTCTTTCTTTGTTCACAAACTTCATGGTGTGAAAAAAATGCTTTCTTCACTGCACCCATCAATATTCTCTAAACATACAGCACCGTAGTCCAGAAGTCCAGGTGAAGTGAACTTTGCTTTAAATATCTGTCTTTCCATTCAATGCCGAGTCCGAGAATTTCGGGTTCCTTTCCCAGCCCTGGCGGATCCGTGTGAGGGTCTTGTCTATACATGGCAGAATGAGGATGAACTTGATCACCAGCAGTGTGCAGGGGATGATCAGCGCTATCACATAGGCTGAAGGAAGATACCACCTGAGGACAGAAGCGCTGAGGAATCGCTTCCCGCCGTACACGAGGGTGTGTGCTGTGCACAAGATCAGGGTCAGATAACCCAGCTTGGACTATAAGCGAAAAACACAAATACATCCATTAACACTATTTACATTTTAACGTGAAACACTTTAAACCAACGAAGGACAACCACCAGCCTTTGGAACCTGTAATATGCTGCACACTCGGCTAAGTACTGGAAAACATTAACTCTCCTTCAGGATGTTCAGTGTCTAAAAAAAAAGACTGCTTACAAATGACATCATGGTTTCATCTTAACCTGACTGCGTGGGAAAGTTTCCCAGGAGTAAATTCTTTCGAGTTAGAATATATAATGTACCTTCTTCTTCCATGGTAAAACTCTTCCCTGAATCACCTTTTCTGGAGGCCAGACGTGAATAAGACACAGTATGTCCTCAAGAAGCCCTATGTTAATATGTGTTGCTGACATAAAGCAGATGCTAGCTGATTTCTATCTCAATAAAGAGCAATTAGCAAACTTTACTTTTGTTTATTTGTTTGGGCCTCAATACTAAAGCTTAATGTTTATTTCTGTCTTAATGCCTTGAATAAAGGTGTAAACGTGAGACAATGTTGACTGCATTTGGTCCCTGGGAAAAACTGTAAGACTTTTGAAATTTAAATCATTCTATTACGTTCAAACCTATTTCAGTTACTCATGGTCTGTTCTCTTATACTGGTTTACAAGCAACATGCACCAGAATCATCCAAAGGGCTTGTTAGAACAAACTGCTGGGCTACACCTCTAGAGTTTTATTCTTGTTTCTTTTTTTGCTGTTATTTTTAATTAATTAATTAACATTTAGTCAGTTTACAGTGTTGTGTCAATTTCTGGTGCACAGTATAATGTTTCAGTCTTACATATACATACGTATATTTATTTTCATATTCCTTTTCATTATCGATTACTATAAGATATTGAGTATAGTGCTGTACAGTAGAAACTTTGTTTACCTGTTTTATATGTAGTAGTTCCTATCTGTACATCTTGAGAGCTTCTGATTCTTTCAGGTCTGGGCGAGACGTGGGGAATCTGTGTATCTAACAAGATCCCGGGTGATGCTGACACTGCTGGCCTAGCGAGCACACGTTGAAGACCACTGGTCTATAAGGTTAGTTACTAACTGCCTTTAATGAAGCATCTGATGATTGATGTGTGGTAAAAGTGTTCCTCTTACAGACTAGCACTGAGTTTGGTGTGATTACAGTCTAGCATATCTTACTTTGAAAGTTTTAAAGGTTATTTCGTTATATGCTTCCCCGTATCAGTATGTCCCTATTCTAAGGCTGATTTTCAGAAGTAGAAATTTTGTCTTTGGGTTTCTCTTCACCTTGCACCTAGTACCTCTCCACACACAGAGTTTAAGAGTTGTTGGTGCTTTTCACTCTATACTCTTAGCTGTGGCTCTGGGAGTGGCCAGGAATCTTGGCAAGAGATGCCCTGATAGGAAATCAGACCATGATGGAATCTGCCTTTTAGTGCAGAGTTTAGCATTTTCTTATTTGAACTTGTTTCAGTTGTGATTTTTATGAGATTGCTAGGGAAGTGATGGAGCAAAATGAAAATTTATGCAGACTGTGAGAGAAAAAAGTGTGAATATTTATTTGTAAAGCCAGAATCATTTTGCAACATAAATTAGATTAAATCGTGAAGTCCTTACCTGGACAAATCGGAATTCTCTCCAGTTGACCATGTTGCTAACTGATGGCAAGGAAGTGATTCCCAAGAGCACAAACAGGAAAAATCCAAGGATTCCCAAAGCTATAAATGAATCATTAAGCCAGGCAGTAGTGGTACTAAATGGATTTTCTTTCTTGGCTGTTATCTAAGAAAAATTATAAGCAACTTTTAAAAATTCCATTTCTTACAAACTACTCAAAGTTTTTAAGAGGACGAACAAAAAAATACCTCTGCATGGTTTCTTTGTTCAAGGCAAATTGTACAACATTTCTTAATAATCAGTGAAAATAATTGTAGAGAAAAATACACTTAGATATTACATTTGTTGGTAGAAAAAGTAATTGATTTTGTTGGGACGTTATGATTGTTGACTCCAGGAGTTGTGTAGGGAGTTTTAATTGACCCTATAAATCCTAAAACAGAGTAAACATTTACTTAAACCTTCATTACCGTATGGCTTCTTGTTCCCCAAACAAAAATTGATGTTCTCAATCGGTGACATTGGGATTCTGTTTTCCTGCTTTGTATGCTGATTATTCACACACATGAAGTTTGGGTTCTTTCATTTTTTTTTTTATGTTGCAATATAGCATTAAGTCTGGCACACCACAGATTGAGAGAAATCTGGTCCCTGTAATGTGACTCTCACCCAAGAACCTCCCATGTATGTGTGAGGGAATTAGTGTAGAGAAATCCACAGGCACATCATCAATGAGTTATTGACTAATAAACTTTGAGACTGCAGTAAGATTGATCAAAACCAATTATTTCAAACTAGAACTGATGTGTAGACCATCCTCTGGGACTGCTTTAAGACTCTCTGAGCTGATTTTCTCTGAATTCTTTTTTTTTTAACATTTTTTATTGATTTATAATCATTTTACATTATCTGAACTCTTTGACTATGCAGAAAATAGCATTTGACATTTGCTCAGAATTGTTTAGTTTTCTAGTTATTGAGGACAAGTTCTCACAAGTCAACCGTTAATGGAGTTATAAGCACCCTTTTGTGAATTTGTTTACATTCCCATGACACATGTTTGCACAACCCCCTCACTTGTAAGATGGTTGGTTTTGACTTCCAAAAGGAAGTAGCATACATAAAAATAGAAGCTTGAAAACACATTGGTTTCCATTTATTGAAGTAATTCAAGTAGGTGTCATTAGGTTTTCCTGAGCCCCCAAATCTGCCAGTTTGTCAGTATCCTAGAGGGTCCTGGTAATACAGGTGTGGACCTCAGTGAACCTGGGAATTTCACTTTCATTCTCAATAGTTGTATGAGATCTCACCTGGATTCATTAAAACAAAGCAAAACAAAACAACAACCCCTCCCACCAAACAAACATGAGGTGTCTCATTGTAGTTACTTTAAAAAACGTAGATGCTTAGAAGAGTGATTTCCTTTCACTATAAAATGAACTATGATGTTTCAAGATTCCTTGTTGATTTAAAAATAGGAGAAGACAAATGAGTAGAGATTTACCTGGTTAATGGTTCTGTTTGTCGACGTCCACCGTACATAATAACGAATAGGAATCACAAGTGTGTAGAGGACATGAAGGAAGGCAAATCCCAGAGCTATCAAGCCAAGCTGCTTTCTGCAGAGCATCCAGTGGTCAAGCCAGTCTGGGAATCGGCGGTATTTTGTACCTCGGTAGAGCTGCAGAATGGCAGCAATAACACCAGGGAGGTAAACCAGGGCAAGCAGTGTCAGTGCTGTTATGGGAAAGACACGATTCGGAATGGAAATAGCCATGCGAAATGTGCTATCTTGTTTTCCGTTAACATACGGGTAGATTACTTCTCTTATTACACAGTAGAAAAAGAAGAAGACACACAGAACAGCAGACAAATAGAAGGGGGCCTTCCACATTGGAAATAATTGCAGTGGGTAGTTTTCAATTTCATTGGCTGCCATGAGAGATCCTTTATCCAGTGGAGTAAGTCCAAGAGCACGAGCAATGTCCATCACTCTTTGCTTGGCTTTACTGTCATTTCCGCAGACAAACACCTGGGTTAAAAGAGTTAATTTTGTTACGTAGGAGACAGAAATTTTAACCAGTTAAGAGAAGATTCTTGTAAACCCAGCATAGATTAACTAGTAAGCAAGTACAATATAAACATGGGTCGATATGATTCAAATACTTACTTTTTAAGAAATTGATTGTCTTATACTTTAGTATTCTCCAGCAGTCGCTTAAACACGTAACTGTATGTGTATTTCTAGATGTATTACTGAAATATTTTACAGCAACAAATTAGGGCAGCAGGGAATTTAAAATCAAATCCAGATGCAAATATTTTCATATGAAAAAGCTCAACTGGCTACAGTTGGACTGATACTTATTTTACATTGTATTCCCAGATTCTGGTTCACTAAAACCACGTTAGGCCCAACCTGAGTTTTACTAGTTCTATATTAAATTTTTTTAAAGTCGTATTTCTAACTCTTTCCCAAAAATAAAAGTGAATGCGACCATAAAAGAATAATTTTGGATTTATTCTTTCTTTAATGATTATTTTGAAAGTCTCCATAAGCACCATGTAGGACAGTGCCGTATAGTAGTTAACTGCTTTCCAAACAAGGATGTAGAATGGACATCTTTAACAAGATGATGTTTCAGACTTGCACATGTGTGCTGGGCAGTTAATTACCAGGGTTTTAAGTTGAGAGTGGCTTTAGGCATATCACACACTGATATGGTAAGACTTGGTTCTCCATATCTCTTTTGCATACTCATGGCTGCTGCACCACTTAAGGATTTCTTTTAATCTCAGTGAATAAATGGAACCCATTTCCTATGAGGTAATGGGATTGGAGAGGATATCCATCAACAGCTTAGCTGTCTGATCATCTAGTACTGACAAGAGGCCTCCAGAGACTGACACCATTGGGTTCCATTAAACTACAAGCTGAAGGTGCAGACAGTGGGAAATAAATCACTGCAGTTGATTCCCTTACTTGGTCAAATCCAAGAAAGAGATTCATGGCACATATTAGCAGAGATGAACTGTTTTACTTTGGAATCTTTGAGGTAAGCGTATATTGAAACATTGATTTTTAAAAGATGGAGCATCAATTTATCGTTTAATCTTACCTGCCGACTGGCATCCAGTGCCCCTGACTGGAGAGCCCAGGCTGAGATGGTGTTAAACGCCTTTACTACGTGGGCTCCGGGCACCAACTGAGCAAGGTGCTCTGCATTCGATTCCGGATACTGATTGATTTTGAGGTTGTTGCTGACGTCCACCAATATTTTCCCTTTGAGAACCTCAGTTAGTTCTGTGAGGAAATCATAATGCTCCCTGTGGATTGTTACGATGATAATGTCAGATTTCTGGGCTGCTTCTGAATAGCTCAGGACCTCTGCACCACTGGGCAGCAGACTGGACCTCTGGGGATTTCGACTTCCAAAAACAATAGAATAACCACACTGAAGCATTCTAAGTCCCAGCAATCTTCCAAAATCTCCAGTTCCAAAAATACACACAGTCTCTTGCTTTTCTGAAGAATTCATAGTGAGAGGAAGTGCATCTGTAGAAGTTTTCTCCATAACTGAAAGATAATAACACAAATACCCCCAAATTACGAATGTTCTGGGAAAAATTAATGAAATTTAAATCCAGGAAATTGTGATTGACTGATATTGTTCGAATCTTCTAATGAATTATCTCAAGAATATTCCCTACAAAATTTGATAGGAGTAAAAGTTCTCTCATATATTCTCATATGTGTCTTATTTAACAAAATCTTCTATTGGGTAAAGAAATTCAGTAAAAACCCAAGACATTTACTGGTCATTGTCTTAAACCGTAGACATGTATTGCAACAGTATTGCACTTATTGAACACTTAGATTTCCCAAAGTTCTCAAGAACAAAATCTGCCAAAGAATATACTAATAAGGAAATTATGAACCAATTCGTTTATATTTAGTGATACAAAAATCCCAAATAAAATAGTAGCAAACAGAATCCAACAGCTTAAGAGAGAGTACACATTGATCAAATAAGATTATTCCAGGAATGTAGAGTTTAGTTCTATAAATTCAATATTAGAAAATCTATTAATAGACCTCACCATATTAGAAATTTAAGGAGAAAAATGTCCATATTTATGTATGCTAAATGGACATATGTTGAAATTTCACACACACACACACACACACACATATATATATAAAATATAATTTAAGGTTAGTCAGTTTACAATGTTGCATCAGTTTCTAGGTATACAGCACAATACTTCAGTCATACATGAACATACATATAATCATTTTCATATTCTTTTTCACCATAGGTTACTACAAAGTATTGAATATAGTTCCCTGTGCTATACAGTATGAACTTATTGTTTATTTATTTTATATATAGTAGTTGGTATCTGCAAATCTCAAACTCCCAATTTATTCCTTCCCACCTCTTTCCCCTACCTGGTAATCATAAGTTTGTTTTCTATGTCTGTGAGTCTGTTTCTGTTTTGAAAATAAGTTCATTTGCCTTTTTCTCAGATTCCACATATAAGTGATATCATATGGTATTCTTCTTTCTCTTTCTGGCTTACTTCACTTAGAATGACAATCTCCAGGTCCATCCATGTTGCTGCAAATGGCATTATTTTATTTTTTTTATGACTGAGTAGTATTCCATTGTATAAATACACCACCACTTCTTTATCCAGTCATCTGTTGATGGACATTTAGGCTGTTTCCATGTCTTGGCTGTTGTAAATAGTGCTGCTGTGAACATTGGGGTGCATGTATCTTTTTGAGTTAAGGTTCCCTCTGGATTTATGCCCAGGAATGAGATTGCTGGATCATATGATAAGTCTATTTTTAGTCTTTTGAGGGATCTGCATACTGTTTTCCCTAATGGCTACACCAAACTACATTCCCACCAACACTGTAGGAGGGTTCCCTTTTCTCCACACCCTCTCCAGCATTTATCATTTGTGGACTTTTGAATGATGGCCATTCTGACTGGTGTGAGGTGATACTTCACTGTAGTTTTGATTTGCATTCCTCTGATAATTAGTGATACTGAGCATTTTTTTTATGTGCCTATTGGCCATTTGTATGTCTTCCTTGGAGAATTGCTTGTTTAGATCTTCTGCCCACTTTTGGATTGGGTTGTTTGTTTTTTTATTAAGTTATATGAGCTGTTTGTATATTCTGGAAATTAAGCCCTTGTCAGTCTCATCTTTTGCAAATATTTTCTACCATTCTGTAGGTTGTCTTTTAGCTTTGCCTATGATTTCCTTTGCTGTGCAAAAGCTTACAAGTTTAATTAGGTCCCATTTGTTTATTTTTGCTTTTATTTCTATTGCCTAAGTAGACTACCTTAGGAGAACGTTGCTAAGATTTATGTCAGATAATGTTTTGCCTACGTTTTATTCTAAGAGGTTTATAGTCTCTTGTCTTATGTTTAAGTCTTTAAGCCATTTTGAGTTTATTTTTGTGTATGGTGTGAGGGAGTATTTTAACTTCATTGATTTATATGCAGCTGTCCAGTTTTCCCAACACTACTTGCTGAAGAGATTGTCTTTTCTCCATTGTATATTCCTACCTCCTTTGTCAAAGATTAATTGACCAAAAGTTTGTGGGTTTACTTCTGGGCTCTCTATTTTCTGTTCCACTGATCCATATGTTTGTTTTTGTACCAATTCCATGTTGTTTTGATTACTGTAGCTCTGTAGCATTGCCTGAAGTCTGGGAGGGTTATTCCTCTAGCTTCATACTTTTCCTTCAGTATTGCTTTGGCAATTCTGGATCTTTTGTGATTCCATATAAATTTTAGGATTACTTGTCCTAGTTCTGTGAAAAATGTCCTGGGTAGTTTGATAGGGATCACATTAAATCTGTAGTATGGCCGGCCATTTTAACAATATTAATTCTTCCAATTCAAGAACATGGGGTATCTTTCCATTTCTTTAAGTCATCTTTAATTTTCTTAGTTGACATTTATCCTTGATTCATATTTTAAAAGAAACAAGTCAATATTTCCTTAACATACAAAGTATCTTTCTCAGTCTAAAATCTCGTATCATGCTTAGAAGAGAATTACTAGAAATATTACTAAAAAAGTCATAAACCAGACACATATATATCTGCTATGACCACTTCAGTTATTATGGTTTGGAAATTCTAGCTAACACAACCAGACTGGAGAGAGAAATGAAATTCAGAAGGGGTTGCAGATGATCAAATTCTAGTCTTGGAAAACTCAGTCTACTGAAAAACTACCATACGTATAAGAACAATTCAACATCTGGTCTAGAAACCAATATTATCAATAGTCTTCATATATAAAAAAACAAACCAGTTTGAAGCTTTGATAGAAGAAAGAGTCCTGTTTATGGCTGCAGCAAAATAGAGATAATTTTTAGGAACAGACTTAAGATAATAAGTTATGTACAAGATCTATAGGAAGAAAAATTTTAAGTTCCCTTAAGACTCAGAGAATTTTTCGTATAAATGGAAGTGTACAACATGTTCCTGGATGAGAAGGCTCAGCTTCACAAAGGTGTCAGTTTTCTCTGATTTAATCTATAAATTCTGAAAAGTATGGTAATAAATAAGGGGCTTGTTCTATTAAATATTAAGATACAATAAAGCTAAAATAAATAATATGGTAGAGTCACAAAAATAGCAAGTGTTCAATGGAATAGAGTAAAAAAATACAGAAATGAACCTAAATCATAACATTTACTTATGATAAAGATGGCCTCTCCAGTCAATAAGAAGAAGATGGCTTATTTAGTAGCTAATATTTATCATAACTAAATAGCCAATTGGAAGAAAAAGTTTAATCTATACTTCACACTCCTCCCCAAGGTAAATTTAAAATATATTAAAGATTTAAGTGTATATAAATTTAAATGGGACTATAATAGAACTAGAAAAAGCCATGGAGAATTCTTTTATAACCTTAGAGGGGTTTTATAATCTTTTCCTATATCACAGATCCTTGAAACTATTAAAGAATAAAGGGATAAATGTGATTACATAAAAATAAATAATACCTGCAAAAGCAGAAACAACAGTAAATGAAGTTGGAAGATAATCAAGTTGGAAAAATATTTTTAACTCATACAAATCAATACAAAAATTCCCACTAGAAAACTGGGGGAAAGGATTTGAGTTGACTGTTCATCCTAACAAAATATGACTTTTCAAGGTAGTAAGAGATTTCTTGATCTTACCCAAAGTAAAAGAAATGCAGGTAAAACTAAGCTGAGATATGGTTAGAAACCATGTGACCATGTTGCTTTTTAAGGTTTTGAAATTTAAATTAAAAACAAACCAAGTAAAAATTCTTGATGTTTTTATGATTCTAGTAAAGTAATCTGGGATACTCTCTCTACTTTTAAAGAATATTGTTTCTTCATTCAGTGTTGACTTTTCTCAAAAAATTTTCTCTTCCCAACATTTAGCATTTAGTTTAAGCTTTCAGTTAATATTTTGTTTTTTGGAGGAGGGTGGTCTCTTGTGTTCAGTGATGCATCCCCAGTGCTGAGAAGAGCACTGATTATGAAGAACTAGGCACTTCTGATAAATATTCATTGGATGATACGCGAAGGGAGGGGTGTTGGAATCGGAAGTCGCGGTTTCCTCTGCTCTGTGCACAGTGCGAGGAGCAGAATGAGGAGGAAGCTGAGTGGTTAAAGTGTGAGCACTGGGGGTCAGGGAGGAGTGAGGAGAAGGAGGGAAGTGGGGAGGGGGAATGTTTTACGGACATTACTTCTTTCATCCAAATGGGCTTAAAGTAAAACTCAGTGAAATTGATGTGGACTTTCCAACCAGACCTAATCACTATTCACTTCCTGCATGGTGAATTTCATGCAGATTGTAGAGCATATGACCTCGCACCTTTTTAATAGAATTTCAGAAATTTGCCCTTTCCATTTTAGCCTAAGGAAAACACCTGTATTCTTATCTGCACTTATCCAAAGGTGTGTACCTATGTCACAGCAGACCATTCAGAGCTTTGTAGCTAAATCAGATGTCATGAAGAAAAGGGACAAGAAATACAAGACTTTTCTGTACTTCCACAGAAACTCTTTGAATAATTGAATTAAGCACAACAACTGAATCATTTTATAAACTAGTTGGTGACTGTTATCCTGAAGTTTATCTGAGAAGGACATGACCGTATACAGAAAAGTACCTGGAGATGATCAGAGTCTATCACATGGAAACACAGCTATGCCTTTGGAAAATTCTTAGCATCTACAAATGCCATCTAGTGTAGCAATTTATAGTATATTGGTTGGTTGTTAACCAGTTAACAACTAGTTGTTATCACTCGAACCCTCAAACTGCTGAATGGTGCCTTAATGATTCTATTTTGTGAAACTGGTTTGTGTGTTGAAAGGATGCCAGTGTGCCTGGCTGTTCCCTCACTTTCTCTTTGTTCTGTATCCCAATATGTTATTTTCTCTCTCTTATATTGGGATGAACATTTGCACAAAACACAGATTTGAAAAAGTGGCCAGTGTCCTGCAGTGAGATGGGTGATGTCTTTACTGACATATTCTTGCTTGGATCATCTTAATCAC